CACACACACACACTACACACACACACACACACACACACACACGCACGCACACACACACCCCCCACTTCCAACAGTTCCTCTTGCATCCAGTGCAAACGTATTCACACACACATACACACACACACACAGCTTCCAACAGTTCCTGCACAAGGCGTTTAAAGTGAACACCATCCTAATGGTCGCCAATCGATGTCTTCTGATCACCCGCTGACAGGGCAGGCGTGGTGTGGATACGTTCCGTCGTCTGTTGAATGAGGTGAGGGATGGGGCACTTCGGCTGCTGATTGGAGCGCAGTTGCAGATGTGAATACATGTTAATCTGTTGCTGTATGTATATGTTATTCTATTGCTGTGTGTGTATATATATAGTATTCTGTAGCGGTTGGTGCAGCGGTAGTATCCTTCCCCTCAGACAACTCAATAAACCCAACACACCCTCTCCTAACAAACCCAACACACCCTCTCCTAACAAACCCAACACACCCTCTCCTAACAAACCCAACACACCCTCTCCTAACAAACCCAACACACCCTCTCCTAACAAACCCAACACACCCTCTCCTCTCTCCACAGCAAGCGGTGGTGCAGTTGCTGCAGAGCTACAACTTTGAGGTGGACATGGTCGACTATGCGAGTATTCACAACTACGAGCAGGTGAGCCGATGAAGTGTGGGCCAATAGATCTGACCCTCGCGTATGACGCACACGCGCACTATGCGACAGGTTATACTGACCTCTGGAGGTGTTCAGGGTTTTTGGAGCAAAGCATAGCGAGTGTGTATGTCATGCACGCTAGATGTGTAGGTTTCAGGGTTTTCGGGTAGACGGACCGTGTGTATGACCGGTAGCTGAGCTGCAGGTAGTTCCGTTTCTCTACATGTTTGCGTAAGAGGTGTTGACACATCTGGTTCTCCCAAAGTAGGACCTGCTCGAGCGATAGAGCCTGAGTGCTTGTGGGTGGGTGGGTGTGGTTGTGGGTGTAGGGTGTAGGGTGTAAGGTGGGCGAGTGTAGGGTGTAAGATGGGCGAGTGTAGGGTGTAGAGTGTTGGGTGGGTGTTTTGAGACGTGTTTCCACCTTTACACATAGGGTGGTGTGTATGGCGCGTCTTGTCATCACATGTGCATGTCTGAGGGTTGAGATGGTACAGTGCACATGTGTGTACTACTCAGTGCATTGCATCGTCACACGCCGAGGGCTGTTATGTTGGGATAGACAGGACTGGTGGGTATATACATGTCGTCCCGATTCGTCCCGATATAGGCGTATGAACATACACTAACACGCGTATAGGATTTTGAATACATATGATGTTCTCGGCAAATTATCAGCTTGCGTTTTTGATCGCTTAAACCCATAACTCTACACCCTAAACTCTAGACTATACATTATACCCTACAATACATGATGTGTATACTACAGTTGCAAATAAGTGTATATATATATATATATATATATATAATATCTTGATGGTTTTCATGTATGCAATTTCCTAATATTAATCCGCACAGGCCATGCCTTGTTGTTAGTAGGTATGCATAACAGCTGCAATAGAGTGTAATGGGAACTTTCACATACACACATACATCATGTATCTATATACCTGCTAGCATGTATGTTTACGTTTGTAGATTACCCGCACACATCAGACTCTGCTGCTAGTAGGTATACATCGCAGCTGTATACATAATGTGGCCCGATGTTAGGGGACCACACGGTATCATTCACATGCATACGTTTACCACATAAACTAATATTTGCCATTATACATTCCCCACACACACTTACACTTACCTACATATTATAATTCCTGTCACCACACGCACTCTACACATATTAATTTATGTCATCACATACACTCATACTTACCATCATATATTAATTCCTGTCACCACTCACACTAATACCTACCTACATATATTAATTCCTGTCACCACCCACACTAATACCTACCGACATATATTAACTCCTGCAGATCATCCGCACACGCCAGGCTTCGCTCCTGGTAGGTATTCATGGGGCGGGTCTTTCCAACATCTTCTGGCTGCATCCAGAGGCGAAGGTTTTGGAATTGCAACCCTACGGCTTCCAAAAATGGTAATTATATAGGGCACCCCATTCGTTCTAGAACCGTGACAAAAAGACATACCACGTCTTAGCAAGAACACAGTGGTGTCAACTGATCTCTCTCAATCTCCCGAGTCTAAAGGTTTTAGGGTTATAGTGTTGTAGTAGAAATGTACATGTTGTATGCACCTGCAGATGTTTACCTACACGCACATGTATAGAATACACCTATGTTATATGCACAAGCAGATGTTTACCTACACACACTTGTATATGTATCCATGTTATATGCACCTGCACACAACAATATACCAATGCTCGTCTTCCCAAATCCCTGTTTGTCTGGTATATATACTAGGCTCACCCTCTCTCCGTCCATGCATGCACATACACAGGGGATACCGCAATCTCATGCACGTGCTAGGCATGCACTACAAGACCTGGGTCAACACAAACCCCGCCGCTGCGTTCCATACCTACCTCTCCAAGGCCTCGGAGAACGACTACGAATTCTACAGGTGTGTGTGTGTGTGTAATACGCATAGTCCATGCATGTACACACACGGCTTCTCACAGGTGTGTGTGTGTGAAATACACATAGTCTATGCATGTACATACACGGCTTCTCACAGGTATGTGTGTGTAATACGCATAGTCTATGCATGTACATACACGGCTTCTCACAGGTGTGTGTGTGTGTGATACACATAGTCTATGCATGTACATACACGGCTTCTTACAGGTGTTGTGTGTGTGTAATACACACAGTCTATGCATGTACATACACGGCTTCTCACAGGTGTGTATGTACTATCGTTTGACAGTTGTTTCAATCTAGGGATACCTAAAACATACACCACTTCTCACAGGTGTGTATGTACTATCTGGTATTGCTGTGACCCAACCCTACACACACCCACATTCGCATACACACTCACAGTTTCCCATACCTACCTACCTCCCCACCCTGTCCCCTCTCCCATGACCCAGGGCCCGTGACCAAGTAGTGGACATCGATGAGCTTCGGGTAGTGCTTAACCACATGCTGCAGCTGCATGACCACAATGCCTCCTTGCTCCGCGCACAGTGTCTCCAGTGGACGTTGGCTGTGGTTGCTGTGTGTGTTCTGGTGTACGTGTGCATCAAGCGCTTGTGTATACTCGCGCGTGTGTGGCGTGAAAGGAAGTATAAATCGGGAGTGGATGCGGAGCCAAACCCTAAAACCCTGAAACCAAAACCCTAAACCTTAAAATAAGACTACATGGGTGGGCTGGATGAAGGGAAGGGGGGCGCACGAGGTGCGGTGAAGGTATCCAAGTGGACGATACAAGCGAACAGTAACGTGAGGATGGCATCAGGACAGTATACGAGTTAAAGTTTAAGTGCAGGTACACACGTGGGTAGCACATGCGAAGTTACATAAGTGGGTAGCACATGCGAGCATACACACGTGGGTAGCACAAGTACGGTTATACCAATGGGTAGCTCATGCGAGATCACTTCAGTGGGTAGCACATGCGAAGTTATATCAGTGGGTAGCACATGCGAGCTTAAACACGTGGGTAGCACATGCGAAGTTACACCATTGATTATCATAAATGATGTCACACCACTGGGTAGCCCATACGAGATCACTTCAGTAGGTAGCACAGGCCAAGGTATATCGATACAACGCGAATGCACGTGAGCTGTGACAAAGGCTTGGACGTCTTTGCTGGTTGTCTATGTGGATGGAGCCCTTCACACAACACGCGCACAAAGGTACACGTCAATACAATGGTAGCAACTGCAAAGATGCACGTCAGTACAATGGTAGCAACTGCAAAGATGCACGTCAATACAATGGTAGAAACTGCAAAGATACACGTCAATACATAGTAGCAACTGCAAAAATGCACGTCAATACAATGGTAGCAACTGCAAAGATGCACGTCAGTACAATGGTAGCAACTGCAAAGATGCACGTCAGTACAATGGTAGCAACTGCAAAGATGCACGTCAATACAATGATAGCAACTGCAAAGATGCACGTCAATACAATGGTAGCAACTGCAAAGGTACACGTCAATACAATGGTGGCAACTGCAAAGATGCACATCAATACAATGGTAGCAACTGCAAAGGTCCACGTCAATACAATGGTAGCAACTGCAAAGATGCACGTCAATACAATGGTAGCAACTGCAAAGATGCACGTCAATGCAAAGATGCACGTCAATACAATGGTAGCAACTGCAAAGATGCACGTCAATGCAAAGATGCACGTCAATACAATGGTAGCAAAAGATGCACGTCAATACAATGGTAGCAAAGATGCACGTCAATACAATGGTAGCAACTGCAAAGATGCACGTGTAGTAGGTAGTTGGAATAAAGATTTTCGTAGCACTCAGCATATGAGAATGTAGTAGGTAGTTGGAATAAAGATGTTCTTAGCACTGAGAGTGCGAGAATGTAGTAGGTAGTTGAAATATAGATTTTCATAGCACTGAGCTTATGAGAATGTAGTAGGTAGTTAGAATAAAGATGTTCATAGCACTGAGCGTGCGAGAATGTAGTAGGTAGTTGGAATGGAGGTGTTCATAGCACTGAGCGAGCGAGAATGTAGTAGGTAGTTGGAATGGAGGTGTTCATAGCACTGAGCGTGCGAGAATGTAGTAGGTAGCTAGAATAAAGATGTTCATACCACTGAGCGTGCGAGAATGTAGTAGGTAGTTGGAATGGAGGTGTTCATAGCACTGAGCGTGCGAGAATGTAGTAGGTAGTTGGAATAAAGACGTTTTTAGCACTGAGCGTGCGAGAATGTCTAAACCCTAAA